TGAGTCTTCAAGAATTCGGCATAGTCGGAGTTCAACGAAGGATCCTGATCGCCATTCCCACTGAAGTTGAACAACCTCTTACTGAACAAGTTGCAATGCCCTCTTCCGATCGTGTGTGCACCTGCATTTCCAACCTTCCATTGTTATATATGTAAAAGCTCAATTAATTCATTTGTACGTAGTATACATATATTACCGATGATTGTCATGTTTGTATTACCTGACAAGACAACTAAATCACGGACTGTAAGCTTCTTACTGGCGAAGTTCTGTTTGAGTTGAGTGAAGTTGAAGAAGGGGGAGGGGAGATTGGCCGAGGCTTCTGCGCTGCTGGAGACTGTGCCATCTCTTCTACCGGTGAAAACTTGCCACAGCGGCTCATCGAACTGCACTTAATTATTGTCAACAATATTGTTGTGAAGCGTCAAACAAAGATCATTGCTACCAAAAGTCCCTAATGTTATATATTTGACCTGAGAAACAGAAGCATGAATTGTAGAAATGGAGAAGAAAGCATGGTGGAACTCACGGAGGAGGAAACGGCGTCCCTAGCGGCTAACGCAAGTATGTCGGCACAAGAAACCACTCCGGGACATTGGGCCTCCATTTCGGTTTTAATTTCGTCAATGACATCGAAGCCTGCCAGACTCAGATTAGGACGTGCGTCCCTCTCTGCAGTATTGCTGGCTGTGGAGTTCAACAGCACCGACCCATCACAACCCTGACATGTTTTTTCATCCCCCGACAAGTTAAACACACACACATATAATCATGCATATGTATATTGTACGAGGTGTTAGGTTTAATATATAAATACCCTGACAAAGCAGTCATGAAAATGCAGTCTCAGCAACTTGGCAGGCAAATCAGGCCTTTCGGACACACGCTTCTGTGTTATGCTCTTCACAATCTGCTCAGCGTCAGGACACGTCTTCTTGTAAAAGTTCATGCTAAGTCCCCTTCCTTCACACACCGCAATAACACCAATTACTATTACACAGGCTAATATAATTTTGTTGGTCTCCATCTTTAAACTGTGGGAATGGAATACACTATATACGTGCCACAATAATAATGCATTTGGCTACGAGGCCACTGCTTCCATTTATAGGCATTCTGTGTCATCCTTCCGAAGCAATTACAGTTCAGCCTTGCATAATTTATTTGAGATGATGGATTCTAATTTTCCAGTTCATTGCTTGCAAAGTGTTGTTAGTGGCCGGGATAAAGATAATTGACCTCATGCCATGACATTATATATGTTAGAAAGGATATCTATGCTATAAATTTAATACCAGTCAAATGAAAAATTCAATTAATAAAATAATCTAACTTCTCCTTTCAATAAACTAATTGATTTCGTTTTACATTAGGTGTGCTGCCATTCCGTCATAGGAAGGATATCTATCCAAAGAATTGCATATACATGGTTGAAGTGAAGAATGTTTGTGCGCGCGCGCGCGTAAATGATGTACATGTACGTAAAATAAAAACTTTTAAAAAAACTGCATTATTGATACATAAATGAGACAACTCGTTTCTCATGCTCAATGTAATTAACATACACATAAATGTAAAGAATTCCATCAATAAAACAGTTTACGTAAATCATAACGCTCCTGACTTAACAGAAATTAATTTCAAACCTAAAATGATTTGAGAAAATTTCGAGTTATATAAAAAAACAGCTTACATAATTAAACTATGTCTATTTTGCATTGATTGAATACGTATATGTATTATTTGGTTCATTTATCCAAATGTATGTGAGTTCTCTTCTTCTTATCCATTAATTGATGACTACTTTTCCTTCTTTCTTTTTTTTTGGTCACTGTGTGTGTATTCTCTTCATAGCCACATGCGTAACTCAAAATGCTGTTTACCTACACGTCAGGTTGATTTAAAATAGTTGAGAGATCTTGGCCATTGTCTTCAACTCATCACTATGAACACCTCCTGTTTCTCCCCTTCCTAGACTTGCCCTCGTGTTTTTTCTTTTCTGATTTAGAACGGCCCCAACCCGGACTATTCCGTTCAAGGGGGAATCAATGTTACCGGACCAGTCGAGTTCATGTTCAATCACTTAAATTTTTTTTTTTTAATTTGTGTAAATAAAGAAATCAAAACAAGTTCATTCAACGAGCCTCAGATTTTGGACGGACCTAAATTATAGGTGGGAGATATTCAAATGCGGAAACCTGTCGCAAAGCTCTTAGATAGCTTCGTCAACAATCAAAGTAACCAAGTTGCATTAGTTATAATAATGTAATTCAGTTTCTAATTACACGTAAAAGCCATAATCAACACCAAAGCAGGTCGTTGAATTGTCGGACCGGTTATTGATTATGATCTTTTCGAAAGACCAAGATTATGCCGTATATGGGTTGGGCAGAAGTAATGGACATGGAAAAGGGAAAATAAATAGATTGGAATTTAAGTTTTTTATTCAAAAATATGTCTAGTATGCAGAAAGAGATAGAAGCAGTTGGTTATAAACCTTTTTATGTGTACGTTCAAAAAATAAAAGGGAAGTTTTAAGATATTAAAAAGACACACATGACATGCCCTTGATTAAAAAAATAATTTTGCATCATAAAATTAAAAATGAAAAAACATTACCTGCATTTTCCTCTATTTTCTCCTCAGCCGTCGTCGGAACCTTGGAATCCAATCTGTCATTTGCCGTCTGCCAGCTTTTGCACCGTCAAGCTAACATCTGTTGTTTGCCCTTCAAGCCTCTATGCCTCGATCACAGTGGCCATGTTGACTTTTGGAGCTTAAGAATGACTTGGGAGTTGTGAATATTAGGAAGGCACAATTTTGTCCCAAACGACATAGGCCACGCTTATTCTCGTCACTGAAAAAATAGCTCCCAAAACAGGATCAATTTTCCTTTGGCATGTTGCCTAAACCCGGCCATGTGCCATATAATATATATAAAACTAGTTTAACTTTTAATTTGATCTTAAATATAAGACTCAATTCATTTTGTTTCTTATATTTATTTATTTTTTTCAAAGCAATCCTTATACTAATTGCATATGTTTAAAGTTTCATTAAATGTAGTTAATACATGTGATTATCAAGGATATTTTAAGAAAGGCAATGCCTATTTATTACAAGTAACTAATTTAATAATTTTTTAATCTATTTAAATTAGTCAACTAGCTCTTGTATTAAGAATTAGAGGTCATATTTCAATAACTAAGTTTGGGTATTTGATCTTAAATGAGTTAGTAAAAAAAACATCTTTCAAATATATGAAAGAATGTGAAATGAAAAATAAGCATGCATACGAAATTTTCTCTTCGTTTTTTTCTTAAAAAAAAAATGCTTCTCTATATATAATCACATAAGATATGAAAACTACTGCCTAAGCCGAGAAAATGGGCCGATGTTGGCCCATTCGATGGCTGCCCGTTACACATCATTTTCGACAGATAGTCTCACGACCAATGCTGCCTTTCTCTATTTGCATTTTGGAAATGAAATCGGTAACGGTTGTTGAATATCTCTCCGGCAACGGGCAACCGATTAAAGAGCGGGGGGAAATATAAATTTCTTTTTTTTTTTTTTCCGGCGGGGAAAAAGATAAATTCTATTTTATATCATATTAAGCATTTTGCTAATGTAATTTCTTACATTGTTAATTTGATCTTTAGTGATGGCTAGGGAAAAAAAATTGCGAGAAAATTTTTTATTTACTTTTTATTTTGTGGACGTATTAAGAGCAAATGAAATGCGAGGAGAGTTGAGTGAAATTTTTTGCAAAGTTAGAAGAAAAATATGATGGAAAAAAAAAAAAAAAAAAGATTTCTAATAAGAAGGCGTTAAAATAACAGGCCCACCAACCCCCAACATGGCTTTTTGGCAACGGTCTTCCTCAAAATTCAAACCTGTACTTTTCATATATTTCAGAACTTGCCCTCTTCCCAGTGACCACGCCGTTCAAGGGATAGCTTACTACAAACTTCTCTTTATTCAGTCAACTTGATGGTTTCCTTAAAAAAATTGTTGCCCCATGTAATTCACTTAGATAACAAGTCATTTCGTTTAAATTCTTTGGCCTAAACAAAACACGAAACCGATATTGATAATAAAATCAAATATATGCCCGACTAAAATGAATTATTTGAGTCCATGGTGCCTTATTGAAATTATTGGGAAAAAAAGCTCAAGTGTGTTTTAAGTATCGGATTTCCTCCAAAGAAACAAGCTAAGTTTCGAAGATTTTTTTTTCCCCTTTGAATAGATAAATTTGAATTTTGGTACAGATGGTAAATTTAAATAAATTGGCATGTCCAATGTTATTAAATTAATTCAGACAAAAAAGGAATAAAAATAATGGACAACATGGCATAGTAATTTAAACAGCTATAAAAGTTGGTGGATTTTGCCTACTCATAGGAATCGAGTCCGGGGATAATAATAATACTGATGATTATAATAATAAAAATAAAAGGAGTCAAATCCCTGAAGCAAAGCCAAACAAAAAATCTCTTCACCAAATAATAATAATAATAATGTTAATTATCCTAAAACAATGATGATTAAAAGGCTAACGTCAGTGGATATGCAAAATAAAGGGCTGATCTTAACCCCTCTTTCAATGGAGACTAATTAACCTATTTCCTTAGCCAGCAATCATTAAAACATCCTAGTAGCACTTGAGATTAAAGAATCCCGCGTTTTGTTGAGCCAGCCAAGGCTTTTTTAAGAAGTCAACTGAAAATCAACCTTAATAATGCATTAATTTTACTGGCAAAAAACAAAAATGCATTAATTACTAAGTGAAACAAAATGGGGAATTTAAAAGACGAACATTAATTTTTACGGGAAAAAAAGAGGAATAATAATAAATGGAGGAGCCGGTGTGGTAACATAAAATAAAAGATGACGAGGGACTACGGACAAAAGGGCGATCCGAACAGAATTTGAAAGAGTGACCGTTGGGAGTGGAGAAGGCAACAAAACCAGAGGAGCAGTATCCAGAGGGGGTGCGAAAGATTTGTGAAGCGAAGCAGAGCGAGCAGCTAAGATGACCCAACAAGACAGAGACCAAGCCAGCTCCCTCGTCCCGTCCCTGTTGAGTGCTTTGAGAAAATCAATGGTCTCTTGCCGGATGCATCCCCCCGACGATGTAATCTCGGCCGTCGCTCATGACTTCGAAACTGGATGGCCCACTAACGTTCAGCACATCGCTCACGTCACTTTCGATCGCTTCAATGGCTTCCTGGGTCTGCCTGCCGAGCTCCAGCTCGAGATTCCGGGTCGGGTTCCCAGCGCCAGGTCCTTGCTTCTTTCCTTTCTCTCCATTTGTTAAACTTCCCCCGTCATTTCATTATCAGCTTCAATCGTACATGTTTATTCATCTGATGCGGAGCCACAGCGTTTATTGATGCTAGGTCTCGTTCTGTCTGTTTGTTTGAGAGGGAGAAGAATGAGAAGAAACAGAGCGATTTTCATTGTTATTAACTGATTAGCTTCCCGAAGGGCAGTGAACAGGCTCTTGTGAATTTGTCATGACTGGGTTAAGTGAGGAATGCATCGGGCACGAGCATTCTGAGGAATTTTTTTAAAACTGTGACCCTGTACATGGTATTCTTAGTAAACTCCAAATGAACTCAGATTAGTATAAATGTTACTTCAGAATCAAATATGTACAAAATAGAGTTGACTGAAATGTGTTTTCGAGCTTCGATATTATGATAAGCCATTTAAACACCCCAGCTATCACTAAACCTGTAAAACCCGGCCGATTATATCTTCTCTGAATCTCATTTTCCCTAAATGAGCTCATCTATGTTTAATTGATGCATTATTCTAAATTTAGTAATCTATAATTGCAGTGCAAGTGTGTTTGGTGTCTCACCAGAATCAATGCAGTGTTCTTATGATTCAAAAGGGAATAGTATCCCAACCATCCTGTTGTTAATGCAGGAGCGTTTGTACTCACGGGGAGGCCTAAAGGTACCGACTTTATTAATTACAGTTACAAAGTACGTGTGTGTGTATATATATATATGTTGTTGACTATTAAAAAAAGATGTGGTTGGAAGGAAATGAGTTACAGATTAACAAATTTCTTTTTTATTTAATGATTTTCAGGCTGAAGGAATTTTTCGCATAAACCCAGAGAACAGTGAAGAGGAGAATGTGAGGGAGCAGCTGAACAGGGGGATCGTGCCGGACGACATTGATGTACATTGTTTGGCGGGCCTAATTAAGGCCTGGTTCCGAGAGCTCCCTTCGGGAATTCTGGATGGACTTTCTCCAGAGCAAGTTCTTCAGTGCAACACAGAGGAAGAATACGTTGAACTTGTAAAGCAGTTAAAGCCCACCGAAGCTGCCTTGCTCAACTGGTCTGTCAATCTCATGGCTGATGTCGTTGAACACGAAGAACACAACAAGATGAACGCAAGAAACATTGCCATGGTTTTTGCTCCAAACATGACTCAGGTTTGTCATTAATACATCCGCCTGATGCACTCACCGATCTATCGTGCAATTCTTCATCTCCGCTCACATGAAAGAACCCGGAACACTTATTATCTCTTCTCAAACTCGTGCTTTCCCTGAAACAGATGTCTGATCCACTTACTGCTCTGATGCATGCTGTCCAAGTGATGAACTTGCTTATGACTCTTATAATGAAGACGCTCGCAGAACGAGAAGAAGCGGCAGGTTCGCCCGCGTCGTTTCATTCATCTGAGGAAGAATATGAAAGTGAAGAAGAAATGGATACTAGTGATGGCGAAGAGGAAGGGGAAGAAGAGGAAGAGGAAGCCGAACCATTAAGTGACATTGAGGAATATGCTATGTCATTTACTGAAAGCGAAGCTGGGAAATCCAATTCCAGTTCTTCATGCCAAGAAAAGTCCGAGACATCTAGTATTGACACGAGTAGTCCGGCGATTTCATATGAAGGCACCAATAACGTGGAAATAATTACTAAATTAACTGACTCTTTGCCCGGTGCCACCGTTTGCGTCTAGTGAAGCACTTTTTTCTTTGTTTTTTTTCCCACTAATTCAGATGATGTCTCTAGGAGGAAGTGTTCATTGTGTAAATTAGTAGACAGAGTAGGAAATGTTTGCTTGTGGTGGACTATGTTCAGTTTAGGGCTGACATTGATCCAGTTATTTTCTAGAAGTGAAAATTTTCGCTCTAGACACGACAGACGGGGATGTACTACCATATAGGAGTAGCTTCGCGAGCGTATTTCACATGGGTGAAATTCATAGGCATTCAGTCTTCCGGGCTTGCTTGGTATTTGTTGTGCATGTTATTGTTGATCGGCTTTAATGGATTTCAGATTTCGTGTCGATGCTGAATTTTTTCCCCCTCGTTCCCAAAGAAGAAATGAGTATATTATTAGTTTCCGGAAAAGAATTTAATACTATAAATCAAATAATGAACGAGCTGCATATATTTTGAGGGAAACCTCGTGCTTGTGGTGGTTGGTGGCGGCATGTGTTTACCTGTATTTCAAAGGATATTGAAAGAAAAGACACCAAATCTTCTAGAGCAGCTAAATTTAGAATGAAGACACAATAATCCGTCATCTGTTACAATCGAAACTTGAGAAATTATGACTTAAAAACTAACAGGAAAGAAAAAAGTAAGGAAAGTGCAGAAATGGGTTGCGCATCGATGACGAATCTTCAAGAGAGGTGAGCAGTCACCGCATCAGTTTAAGCAACTATGTACAATTAATTAAATGCTACTTCATTAAACCACCACCCCATTCTCTCTTTGAACACAGTGGGGGGAAATTACATATCGAATTCGGGTAACAAAGCCTAAATTACATAGGAAAGACGACCGAGCGTGTGTGGAGACTCAGAAAATGAAGACAGAATCAAGATGCCAAGCAAGCTTCCCAGAATCGCCTGTTCTTTTCCATCTCGTCCATCAACTGCTGCCCTGAGTCCACCGACAAACTCGATCGGTGCTTGTGTTTCTGAATCTCATCATCATCACAATACGACGTTCCGTGTACACCAGTTTCTTCTCCATCGTTTTCCTGCCCGTCACGATGCTCAAACTCAGCATCGGCAAAACGAGATGCATGCCCATTGAGATGTTGATCACCCAGATCCCAGTTGTGACTCTCAGATCCCTCGTGGCAGCAAGACTGAGCATCATCGTCGTCGTCGTCGTCGTCTTCTTCACCGACGGCTCCGGCAAATTGTTCATCCATGATGATGTCAGCGTCACCGTCAGCCTCGGAATCCCCGGTGGCTTCAAAAAGCATGAACCGAGACACATCCATTCGCTTCATGTCCATCAAACCACAACCCCGCACAGACGGCTTCAGTCGAGTCTGGAGGCTGATGTCTTCCGAAAAGCTGCCAGTGTTGTATTAGAAATGAAAAGAGAATATCTGGTAAACAAAGAGACGAAATAGAAACGGAAGCTGAAATGTGAATAAAAGGGAGGGGCGGGGGGCTGTCTTTGTTTGACAGATTGAGAGCAGGGGAAATAAAAACTAATATTAAAGGAGAAGGACGAGCTTGAAAGTGATGAGGGTGACATTCTTCTAGAAGCTTGACAAGCGAAGCATGCCCCCCGGCCTTTACCCACTCTTCTAGATGGAATGGTAGCAGAGAATGAATCAATGACTCGACAACGTGTGTGGCGTTTCTTTTTTCCCCGTTTATTAGGCCCAACAAATATCTGATTTCTCCACAATCTCCGACTTTTGACGGTGTTTTCAACCCCCATCCACGCCTCGCTTCATTTTTCTTTTCCCAATACGCCGTTCTACTAAAGGGTGCACTGACTTCATCCAACTTGACAGATTAGAATACTCAGTTTAGACGCCTTGTTTCAGAATATTTAATATACGACACATTATATAACATTTTTTCTGGCCAAATACATAGTACTCCCTCCGTTCCTTATTATAAGAGACGAATAACCGAATTACGTTGATAAAAAAACAGTTAAAATTAGTTAAGAACAATTAATGTGTAAAAAGTATAATTTTTTTTTCCAAAAATGCCCTCATTAATAAGGAGAGAGAGCATGAGAGAGAACAATAGTAAATTCTTAAAAGAAAGAGAAGTAGAAAGGAGAGAGAGTGTGAGTTGGAGACAATAAATATAGGTAAAATAGGAAATCAACACAAAAAAGTAGAGACAACTTTTAAGTGTCTCTTATATTTAAGAACATGGTATAAGCATCAAATGTGGAGGGAGTAGTATGTAACATAAAAAGCCACACACGTTAAAAATAATACTTCTACATGTCTTATATCACGAACCTCATGTTTGGATTTTGAATCCTTCCGACGCGAGGAGAGAGAATGGAGGACCCGGGATAATATGATTATATAAGGGAGCCACATCTTATAATTAGGCGTGGCATGAATATAAATATATAGATTCATTTCACTGACCGATGCAATCGCCTCCATCGCCTTGGCAAAGATTACAGATTAGCTGTGCACAATTTTAGTTCGCAACGACTCCTATTCCTTCTTTTTTATTATTCTCATTTGGAAAAAAAAAAAAAGAGCAGAGCGGATATTTAATAAAATTGAAATTAAAATGTAAACGGAGAAACTCATTTTTGGGAGTGAAGGAAAAAAAAAAGGAGGTGAGAAATGAATGTGAAAAATAGAATTAAGTGGGGGAGATGAGTAGGTGAAGGGAAGGAGGGGGGGCGGAGAAGAGAGGCGTGTGGAGGGAGAATTAATGACGAGGAGGCCACACATGAAAATGCTGTCCAAAGTTGCTCTCATGATGGTTGGAATTTGGATTATGAATTGATGACCATTAGCTAACAACACGCTTTACCACTCTCTCTGCCCTTCCTCCCCCGTTCCCTTTTTTTTCCTTTTTTTTTTTTTGTGACAGCTAATTCTCCATTCTTTTATCCCCTTGCGGAGTTATTCCGAATCTGGACACCTCTATTAAGATTGAGATTATGATCTAATGATTTCGATTCTTGAGAGATGGTTGCAATTTTTTTTCCCAAAAAATACACGTCAAGACACTATTAGACTGCAATGTGATTATCAATATATCTCTTTTTATTAGGGGTGTTTTGATGGAAAATAAATCATAGTTTAAAAAATAATTTTACGGTATACGAAATAAATATATAAAAAAATTTATCTCAATTTACAAAAAAAATTTTTAAAAAGGACTCCTCCGGTCCTTAATGTAAGACCCATTTAATTAATTTGATTAGATTAAGGAAGTTAGGTAAGTTAGTTAATTATAAGAAAAGTGACATATTTTTTCTAAAATACCATAATCATCTTTTTTAATACCTTCTCTCCCTTTTCTATTTGATTATGGTTGAGGAAGTATCTATAGGGGTAATTTAGAGAAAATTGATAAATATGATAAATGGATCTTATATTTAGAACTAAAACCAACTCAAGAATTGGGTCCTATATTAAGGACCGGAGAAGTAATTTTAATGATATCCAAATATTTTTAAATTTTAATTGAGGGACACCTTTTGATTATTTATGCATTTGATCAAGCCGCCAGTACCGCATCATAACTGCCCATTGGAAACGGCAAACGACGTAAAAACCCCCCAAAGCAACAAAAGAAGAACAGTGAAAAGAAGATTGCTGATGGGTTTGGTGGGCCTGTAATGTTGAATGACCTGGTCCCTGGATTGGACCTTACGGACTACGGATGTGTAGCGGTTTCAAACTTTGGATATTTTGAGAACCTACAAAATAATTTAAGAAACCGCATACTTGACACGTGTCTCTACGTTTATTTATCAAAATTGATTTACAAATGGGAACACTGTTCCCCCCCCGGGCGGGTAGTCCTCGGTCAGCTCCGCATCACAATTATACACACACATACGTATCTTCTCTAAAACAACACATGGTTGCTGATCCATCAACGCTGTTTAAAACAAGCTAACATGTAATGATTGCGTGACGTACTTTTATTTTGTTCTTTCTTATATTTTTCACTTAATTATAATTCAATTTTTAATCTTCTACGTAATACAATTCAATCTTCATAATTTTACTTTTCATGTAATTTATTCTGTAAATTTGAACTTAATACAGGTCAATCCTGTAATTTTTATCACCTAAAACTTTAATCCCAAGATTTTTTTAAAAAAAAATATATTTTATGAGATTTAAATAATAAAATTTTAAGTAGTTAAAATTATAGATCTGAACTATATCAGGTCAAAGTTAACAAATTGACATCCCCTGAATTGAAATTAAAATTTAGGTTAGCTGTCCGATTTCCTGCCTGTATTAATTCAAAAGACGCCCCACCCGTCCCCAAAAAAAAAAAAAAAAGCAAAGAACCTTCAACATGTTTTGACATAATAATTAAAACGTAGGCCCGTGGACTGTATTTAGCGCCTGAACTAAGTCATATTATGAATGACTTATGAATAGTCTCACTTTTTTATAAATTATATATTCTTATCTTGAAATTATTCTTTTTTCGCCAACATTATTATTATTATTATTATTCTTATTCACCCAGGAGTAAAAGGGAGAAATGTGCATATTTAAATAATCAAACTAAAAATAAAAGAAATCATTAAGAGATTAAAATAGCGTTTGAGTTATTTCCTAAAATACTATTTATTAATATTAATATAATTTGTCGTGACTAATTTAAAAATTTACCAACCACCGCCACGGCCCTACCCACCACAGACCACACTACCGCCCTACTAAAGGGGAGGCTAAAGGCCACCGTCCGTGGTGCCCATCAAATTAAGTCCTCGCCTTCATCACAAGAATGCTCTGAGCTCACTGTTTGGCTTCATTCCCTCTTCGATGACAACCACCCCCCCCCCCCCAAAAAAAAAAGAAAGAAAGAAAATCAACAAAACTTGAAACCACGGGATGCCTAACAGGTTCAACAGGAGGAGTTTGTAGAAAATAGCTGGTGCAAATTGGCAACTACAATACTTTACTTTCTGACTCCACGGTGCCACAAAGCAATCGATATGCCTTATGAAGGAAAAATCATTGACAATTATTACTCCTTGATACATATATGTAAAGGTCTAGACGGAGCTTCAAGTTACAGAAAATACAAATCAGCGAGGGACTGAGGAGCCATACATAAATTATACAGGTCAGCATATCCATGATCGTTCGTTCAGCTTTGTCACTGTCGATGAGGCTTCCTCAGTTTGTTGTCCCTCTTCAGCTCAACATCTATTTTCTATTTTCCTTACCACCTAACTCGCGCGGCGCCCATTCTCCTTCCTAATAGCTGCTTCAGCTTCGCCTCGACACTCTCAGCTCACAAACCCTGCAAATTACCACTTCATCATTCCTAGTCGCACAAGTAAAAGCTGCGCAATTCTAAGAGGGTAAAAAAAATAAAAACCCGTCACATTAACGAATGACTGCAGCTTCGGGTATTGGGCTCGCCAGGATATTTGCTTAGGCTAGTTACTGTGTTAATACAATTTTTAATTCATTTGCTTTCATTTTGTTTTAGTTCCTCCGAGTTTCAAATTATAAATTTTTGTCTATTAAAATTTTTTATTTAAAATATTAGTTTTTATAATTCAATAAAAATCTGAATCATTTTATTCATTAAAACAATAAAATAAAAATATATTTAAGAGATTAAAAATTATATTAACCTTTCACACTCAACTCTACCGCATGGCAGAAAGGATGTTCGAAAGCTCTTCATCTCCAAATTCTTGAGGCATGTGATAAACAAAGAGATTGGCACCAGGCGGTCCTATGTTATGGAAAATGAAACTATGAGCATATTTTCTAACTGGTAACATTTCTAGGGCAAGTTCTTCTTCTGGCCAAAATCTTTCAAGTTCGATTTCAAATTTGGATTTTTGTTTGCGGAATAAATCGCAACGCAAAAATGGCAAACGACTCACAGCTGCCTTCGTAATAAACCTTGCTAAGAACAAGAGGACATTGATGGCGCCACCAAATCCGGTGCCAAGATTTTGTTTTACTGCTGTAGCAAAAAGAACATAGGCATCCCTACGAACCACACTTTCTAACTTCACTCTGAAGGCATTCTTTAAAATTCAAGCAGGAGAAAATGTCGTTGAACTCAACTTTCCACAAAAGTCAATCCTCAAATACACACCTTGATTTGCTACTGAAACACAAGTAACAAGCCGGTTAACAAATAATTTTGCCTGCATGACACGAGAAATAAAGGCGCTCACACCCACCAGTGACATCGATTCAAAAACAGAAATTGGGGCTTTGATCGAGGATCTGTCAAAACCCCTTGATCCCCAACCCAACGCTTAAATAGACTTTCAAATCATAAAATATTTATATTTTTTATTTAAAATTCCTATCTAAATAACTTAATCGTTTAATTTATAGAAAATTACGTAACCTCGTCAATAATCATGTGACGACATCCCCCGAAGTTATACACAGTGCCTGCAGAGGATGGTTGATTTTTTTACTTGACAGATATTTGCATGGAGACAATGGCTCAGCCAGCATTGCTCAACGCATTTGGCGCCATGCATTCAGAACGGTGGTTGGTAAATGGAGATTTCCTCCGGAATCCGCCTTTACCGCCTCCTCCCGATCACAAAGGAATCTAAGAAACTAAACCCATTTGATGAGTGCCCTCCTTATTCATGAATCAATTCTTGACCTCAAAGTACCCTGCTACTAATTTCAGCCAATCAATAACAAGAATTTTACACGAATTCGAAACATCAATTGATTGCACAAGATTTTACAGGAGTTCGTGAGAGATAAAAGTTGACGACACGAATTCCAAACCAGGCAATCAAATCCAATTCAGCCTATTAGACCTGAGTGAGCGCTCAGGTTGACTGGCAGGAGTCTTCGATTCTTTGAGCGATCAGATTGATTGCTGCATTTGCAGATGAGAACGCCCCATGAAAGCTTTCTTGATAGGAAATAGACTCCAGCTCTCTGGCCATCTTCAACAAAATCTCACCCAAGTCTGTTTGCTTCTCTAGCAAAGATTTGTAGTATGATTGGGCGGCAACTTTGCTTATCTCCACGTTAGTCTCCTCCGGACAATATTCGTCATCCAACCATTTATGCAGCGTAACTCTCAGCCACTCTGATTCCTGAAAGAGACGCCAGATCATGTCAGTCTGCACGAAAGTTAGTACTGAAGAGTACAAGCATCCTCGGGCGAATTTGATTACTTTCCACCCCTCAAATTGGACGAGCACAGTCTAAAGATTTTGATTTCTTTTCTGAATAACGGAGGCAAACTTTAAGGGAAAACAGACACCAAAAAAAAAAAAGGAAAGGAAAAGTCAACAAGACAAGGCCACGCCTATCTTCCATGAACAATGCCATGCATCCACAAGAGATTTTGAATTTTTTTTTTTTTGGGTGAACTGAGAGATTTTGATTTCAAATCGCACGTCTGTGACCTATGCACAGGTGTTCGGTTTACACGGAAGCAGGGGCAAAACAAGAAAAAGCAGGCCAATGGGGACTTGAGATAGCACAATAATTGTGCAGAGCAGCCCAAGTTTTGATATCAAATTTCTCAACAAACAATGAGAAGACGTGCAAATAATTCCCCCCCGGGGGAACATATATATGTTACCAGCATAAAATTAAAGGAGCTCGTCTAAGGAGGTGTTTGGATAGAAACCAAACCATGATTTCAGAAGTGTTTTTACAGTTTATGAAGTAAATATATAGAGGAGTTTGTCTCGTTTTACGAAAAAGTACTTCTAAAATCATGGTTTAGAGGTTGCCAAACACCCCCTTAAAAAGACACTGATAAACCCCACTTCTCACACAAGGCTCACTAATGGGAGACTAATAACAATAGACCCTGCTAAAGAGCCGGCAGCTCCACTCGGCTCGGCCTCTTACCGGTCCAGAATTCTCCGAGGGAAACTCTCTGTGAACATCTGCCTCTCAAATTCGAAGGTATAGGTTACAAGCACAAGTTGAAACTTGAAAGGATATAGCCCAAAAAGGCAAAGAATAGCACGATGGGTGAGTGCCCCTGAAATTATAGATCTCGCTTTTCTTGCAAGGGGCTCCTGATATGATACCTATAACAATGCACCCATGCGGGATGGGCTCTCGTTCGCACTTTGGCTTAGTATAATCACGCACCTTGTATTACAGAAAAATGGACACTTGCGGGAGTTAAATAGAAATCGGAGAGAATTAAGTGAGGAAACAGTAACGAAAACGAACAAAGGGGAAGCAATTTGAAGGAATACCTGGAAGGCGTTGGGTGGAAGTAGCCAGTGGAGAGGAACCCTGAGGTCTTCAAGTTGGGCATCATCATCATCAGGATTCTGGGGAAGTTGATGAGAGCGCGGAGAAGATTGGGATCTGAGAAGGGTGAGAGAGGAAGGAGAAGGAGGGCGAATGGAGACAGAAGCGGCTGGGAAAGGAGAGGGAAGCAGAGAAGAGCTAACCACGAGGGAGGAAGCAGCGCGGGTGACGCAGAGCTGACCCAAACCCACGCTTATCATCGTCTTGTCGTCGCCTTTCTCCCACGAGCCTCAACCGCAGCGACTCCGCCCTAACAAATAATTGAATAAAAAAATTTATAACTTCATATTTGAGTCATGAGATATTACCTCAAGTTTTAATTATAAAATTTTATTTAAAAATTATAAATCAGATTTATAATTAAAACTGGAGGTAGAATTTTGTTAACAAAGACAAAATAACACAAATAAACCTGCATAATTTATTTCTTCATCACGCGCTGCTTAAAAGTTTCAAATCCAAAATTTGTTTTGGAATGAAATCCCATTTCACTCAAAAGGAGAAAAACTTAAAAACTAGGCATTTTTCTTCAGATTCATGGAGTCGGAAAAAACTTTCGAGATCTCAGACAAGGAGGCTCTGGATATTTACCATTTTCTCACAGTAGTAAAATTAATCCCATCAATTAAACGTTAGAAAAATGGTGGTCAGTAAATACCGTTATCATGGGATGAATAATAGTTTATAATATCAAGTTTTAGTGTAAACAATTTCCTCTTTGTCTACAAATTTTTAATAGTTTTTTTTTCCCAATCTTATAGCAATTCTCCAAATAAAATATTGATGAATTATAGAGAAGGTGCAGACTGATTGGCAATTAAAAATTTTACAAGGAGAAAAGTGCAGGTAAAATTTAATATACAAAAGGAAGCCACTGGAGCTAAGCAGCGAACTATGCTGGCTGACTCGGAACTTTCTAAACAATCAAGTACTTGTTTTGTGGCTATGGGATTGCAAAAGAGAGGCAATGTCATCGGCTATTTTCTGGGCATCGAGGCCGGCTCCTCTGAAACCCATCTGTGACAATCCAACGCAGTACAGACCATTCCTTCCCTTCCAGTGGTTTGGGTATGCTTGCTTCGCAAGCCCATCCTCCTTCAGAAGATAATCATCCCCCTGTTCACAATCAAATTGTCAGCACTACGTGCCATCTGCTTTGTTCTCGAGGTTTCACACTCATGCAATTTACCTTAAGCCACTTGTGAGTTGATCCCTTGAAGCCTGTGCAGAAGACGATTGAGTCAAATGGAAGTGACTTGCCATCCTTCAACACTACCTCCTTGCCTCTAATCCTCTCAATTTCGGCCTGCAACACCTTCATATACATGCGCACATATCACTACTCCATCATCATCATCATCATTAATGCTCTGTTTGAAAGCAGAATCTAAGCGTAAAATATGTTTTCTTGTTCTATGGGCTAATAGCTAATTTAGAGTTCAGTCCTGAAGCAGAAGTTGAGTGAAATTCATCAACTGGGATTGGGATGTTGTTGGACCTTGAACGAATTGCGTCCAAACAGGGACCATAATAAAGGAGGTATCCCCACACTGAGGGACAGCAGGTATTGGCACTCTGTATATAACAAGTAATATACCTGTATCTCTCCAGACCTGATTTTCTGGACGGTTCCTACATCAATTATAGGGAACTTGCCGTACTTGAGCTTCATGGTGAAAGGACCCTCCCTAGGCCAAGGCAGCCCATACTTGGTGAGATCCCCATACATGATCCTGCTCCACATCACCAACAGATTCTCCACAGTGCTCCGTGACATATATCTTAACAGAAGTGAGGCGTAATGCATCATGTCCCTATTCATAAAATGAACCTGCAAATCATGAGAAATTAACATGTATACCAGCGACATTAACCGGCCAATTGACAAATTCGGGGAGAAAAAAATATCAGCGAATTCAGATTGGCGTTAATTACCGGACTTCGAGCGATAATTGAAGGTCGGGCACCATAATTGGCCAAGTCTAATGCAATTTCCATGCCAGAATTGCCAGATCCAACAACCAAAACACGTTCATCTTTAAACTGCTCTCCATTTTTATACCCAGTTGAATGAAGCACTTTCCCCTTGAAAGTGTCCAAGCCCTCGGTCTCAGGCACGCGAGGCTCCGCGGTCTCACCGCTGGCCACCACCAAGAACCTCCCAGCATAGTGCTCGACCTCACCAGAGTTTCGATTCCTAGCCTGGATTCTCCACAGGTTATGTGCCTCATCGTATTGGGCTAATTCGACGGCTCTCTGGTAGCAAGGGCGGATATGGAAGTGATTGACATAATCATCCAAGTACTGTATGAACTGTTTCCTGGGGACGTAATGAGGATAAGACGGAGGGAAGGGCATATGAGGGAGCTGGCAGACTTGCTTCCTGAGGTGGAGGTGAAGTCGGTCGTAGGTATATTTCTGCCATAGGGCGGCATAACAGTCTTCTCTTTCAAGGAGGATGTAGGGAATGGAGTGTCGGGTTAAGCAGGCGGAGGCGGCGAGGCCGGAAGCGCCAGCTCCGACAACAATGACCGGGGCTTCCTGCATAGTCGGTAAAGAAACGGGACGGCCTGTTTGATAATTATGGAGCTTGGGGAAGAAATTGGGCCCTTGATAAAAGCAGGATATAGAGAGAGACATCGAGGGAGTGCATGACTTCTCCCGATAAATCCTTGCGGGTCCGTAAAATATTGAGTTGGATAAAACAGGTTTTGTTGGTTAGCGGAAAGAATCGATTTTGGTGGTTGGCAGTGGATTTTGGAGCAGAACAGCAGTGAGTATACATCATCCTGCATCTGTCATTTCCCATGCATTTTCGATGTCCCTGTTGTACAATTTCGGACTCTGATAATGTCGACCTCGTCCACTGCAGCAAACACCTTCAACAATGAAAGCAGCTCATCTTCGGTCATAGGCTTCGGGACTCACAAACAGTGTCACTCTTTCCTCGCTAGATTTTTTCTCTTTCTTCTCCTCCGACTTCTTTATTTTTTATTTTTTTGGGCTGAATCCTTCTCCCCCGACTTCAACCCCCAAGCAATCTCTCTTTCTTGCTTCTTCCCTGTGTCAGCGTTTCTCTCCGTCCTGAGATTTGGTATTTTGGTTCATCTCTGTCAATCTTGCTTCGACTCGTCTCATCTCAGGATGGCAAAGTTTGGCTCCTCCATTGGTAAAATTGTAATAAAATTTTTTGACTCCGGACTAATTTTGTAATTTACGAACTTTTTAGCGCAAATGAGTCCCCATAATTTGATCATGATCATAGGTTGACTTTTGATACAAATGCAATTAATGAATTACTAACAACGAGATAAAGAATAATTAGACTAAAATTATCTTTTCTCATTGTTATATATTATTTTTTATTTTTAATATAAAAACTCATTTGACTTTTATTTTGATCATAAATATAAGATTTCAATATACTATATGTTTATATTTATTCATTACATTTGATTAATAAAGATACTTTAGCAAAGACAACATCAAATAATAACTAACTTAACTAATTTTTTTAATCTATTTAATTTAGTCAACCAACTCTCATATTAAGAATTGGATGTGGTATTTTTTTTAATTAAAATATAGTTTAGGAAAACTATCTTACATTCTTTTCATCTGAAAACAATACATAAAATGAAAAAAAGAATAATCTTATTTCCACTTTCCACATGATTGTATTAAATATCTTATTTTAAATTATGAGACCCTGGCAAATACTCCTAAAACATTTTTAAAAATTGAAGATGAAAAAAAAAAGAGTCTGTTTCATCCATCACGTTCCGAAGTCATTTGATCATAATACATATTAAAATCATTTTATAATAATTTCTTACCAAATTATTCCCGCGAGTCATTTTAATTTCAGTAGCATTCAAAAAAGCTTTTAAATTGCTAATTCAGTGGCCTAAATGTTTGTGGCCTTTTTTTCTTCTTCTTGAATTTTTGGCTGTGTTTGGGCGCACTACATTCGTTGTTGTATGGCATTATTTTTTAATGAAATTACACTCAAAAAGGAGGAAAAACTTATTATAAATGAGACATTTTTCTTCAAAGAAAGTAACTAACCTTCAAGAAGGTCTTTCTATATATTTAAGATATACAAGGCATGTTGGCTGACTCAAAAGAGTTGAAACTTCATAATCAATCCAATATCACGATGGAACTAGAGGTGGTGGTTTGGACATGGACACGTAATTCACTATATGTGGCTCCTGTATCTACATCAAACAATATCAACTTGCGGGATGGAAAGTTATTTTGTATGCATTACGTAATCAGTTTACCCAGGCAAAGGAAAACAAAAGAACGACAATCAATGATTTGTTGTGTTGCTCTGGGATTGCAAAAGAGAGGCAATGTCATCGGCTATTTTCTGTGCATCGAAGCTGGCTCCATAGAAACCCCTCTGTGCCAGTCCAACGCAGTACAGACCCTTCTTCCCCTTCCAATGGTTTGGGAATTTTTGCTTCGCAAACCCATCCTCGTTCAGAAGATAATCACCCCCCTGTTCACAACCAAATTGTCAACATCATATCCTACACTCTCTTCTACTTTGTTCACAAACAGGAAACGGACGCCATGTGTTTTCTTCTTGAGGTTTCACATTCATGCATTTACCTTGAGCCACTTGTGAGTTGATCTCTTGAAGCCTGTGCAGAAGATAATTGAGTCAAATGGAAGTGACTTGCCGTCCCTGAACACTACCTCGTTGCCTCTAATCCTATTTATTTCTTCCCGCAACACCTTCACATAGGTGCACACATATCACCACTCCATCATCATTAAGCTTATCTGAGGTTATGCAAGTAGAAACTAATCATAGAACATGTTTTCTTATCCTAATGGCTAATAGCTAACAAGCTCTGCAGATATATAGAGTTCAGTCCTGAGTTTTCCAATGGCAAAACATGCTTGAAATTCATCAGTTGAGATTGAGGTGTTGTTGACCGCATCAAAGGGACTCCAACCGGAGAGCAACCCCTCAGTAAGTGGATCAGTTCATTAATCAAAATGACAAAACCAGATTGAATCCAAATGGGGACACTAATAAAGAAGGTATACCCACAATCAGGTGCCACATGTATTGGCACCATATACATACCTGTATCTCTCCAGACTTGATTTTCTGGACGGTTCCTACATCAATTACAGGGAACTTGCCGTACTTCAACTTCATGGTGAAAGGACCCTCGCTAGGCCAAGGTAATCCATACTTGGTGAGATCCCCAAATACGATCCTGCTCAATATCACCACTAGATTCTCCACAGTGCTCAGCGGCACATGATTTAACAAAACCGAGGCGAAATACATCATGTCCCTAGTGACAAAATGAACCTGCAAATTGTAATATTTTAATATGTACACCAATAAGATTAACCAGCCAATTAACAAATTTGAAAACAAAAACAAAGAAAGAATAAACGAATTCAGATTGACGATAGACACTAGATAGTTAATTACCGGGCTTCGAACGATTATTGAAGGTTGCGCACCGTAGTTGGCCAAGTCTAACGCAATTTCCATGCCAGAATTGCCAGATCCAACAACCAAAACACGCTCATCTTTGAACTCCTTTCCATTTTTATACCCAGTTGAATGAAGCGCTTTCCCCTTAAAAGTGTCCAAACCCTCAATGTCAGGCACGCGAGGCTCCGCGGTCTCGCCACTGGCAACCACCAAAAACCCCCCAGCATAGTCCTCAACCTCACCGGAGCTTCGATTCCTAGCCTGAACTCTCCACAGGTTATGGGCATCATCGTACTGCGCTAATTCGACGGCTCTGTGATAGGAAGGGCGGATATGGAAGTGATTGACATAGTCATTCAAGTACTGCAGGAACTGTTTCCTGGGGACGTAATGAGGATAAGATGGAGGGAAGGGCATATGAGGGAGCTGGCAAACTTGCTTCCGAAGGTGGAGATGAACACGGTCGTAGGTATATTTCTGCCACAGAGAGGCATAACAGTCTTCTCTTTCAAGGAGGATGTAGGGAATGGAGTGTCGGGTTAAGCAGGCGGAGGCAGCAAGGCCGGAAGTGCCGGCTCCCACGACTATGACAGCGGCTTCCTGCATAGTTGGTAAAGAGCCGGGTCGCCGGGGGGGGGGGGGGGAGTCTATGGAGCTTGTCGAGGAAATTTCCTTAATAAAACCAAGATATATTAGAGGGGTCCTGGGAGCGCATGATTTCTCCCGATAAATCCTTGCGTGTCCGCAAATTATTGCGCTGACATGGTAATTTTGTTGGTTAGCGAAAAAACCCAGGTTGCTGGGTTCACATCAATGATATCCTAATGGAATGGCCCTGGGGATGAACTCGTTGGGAGGCTTGGGGCGGTTAAGGTAGGCACCATCTTCACTTCACAGTTCACATCATCATGCCTCTGCCATTTCCCATGCAATTCGATGGGGGCATGGCTTCGAAGCCCAAACGGGTTCTAAAGACGCCTATTAAAATAAATTAATAAAATTTAGCCCCCAGGCTTTTAATTATAAATGATGGGAAAACTGCAGGTGTTTTCCTCCTATGCTAGTAGGCTTTATGAACTTTTCTCTAATCATTCTATCCTAAATCTTTTATGATACGCTTGCTTTTTAGATCATGAATCCTTTTTTTTTTTCCCCCCAACTTACATGGGAGTTTCAGCTGAAAGTGTAAAACCCAGACACGCTATGCACCCATTGCGTCTCAGTGCTGTTGAGTTTCTTATTTGCCCATTTCTTCATTCTCCAGCTTCTGACCATTTCTTTCCAGTTACCAGGGAATATAAATATCCAGCATCCTTGTGGGTTTTCCTCTACATTCTATTTCTCGTTTGGTTTGGCATGGATTGACGATATTCTTTGTATATGTATGAATTGCTTTCTCTTATTTTCTTTTGATTAAAAAATACATATATTACATGGCATTGCAAGAGGAAGCGGTGTAGGCCTTGGTGTCGGGAGTAGGAGACGTGAGCAATTATAACATATTTAGAACCAAACCCTCCACATGTTTGTGATTTATATATAGAGTGTTAATGGAAGAGTGACCCGTGAGGCAGATAACTTGGGCTCTACAGTATGAAGATGGAGAGAAAAGTCTTTTTTTTTTTTTCAGGTCCTTCGATTATTTCCTTTCTCTGGTTCGGCCCCTCTGTAATTTATTTTTTCAATGGTTTGAAGTTTTTTAAAGCCGCATACCGAGGGTGACAAGAAAAGACAAGGACAGTAGGACACCGAGGACTCATGTGATCCAGAAGGAAATCACGTACCAAATTTGTCTTGTAGCACCGAATGCCCTCAAAAGAGTCCCAATAATCAATTTCCACTCGCCAATGGAACCCCACTACCACATCTCAAAGACCCTTTTTAATGCCTCAATCATGAACTCCTCCTTGGTTTCTCCAATCTCAGTTTCCTCTGTGTCTTTCCTTCTCTCTTGCAGACACATTAATTAGAGTACCATCATTAAGTCAATATATATTTGATTCTGTGATCATTTATGGCTTCCTTTGGGTCATTCACTGCGATCTTCCTCGCCTTGATAGCGTCCCATTTTTCATCCTCCTTGGCTTCTCCACCAAGTGTGCGTTTCTCAGCCATATCAGCAGCACCAACAGTATTACCTGGTGCTCCTCTGGCCTCTACTCCTCTCTCCCCAGATATTGAGCCACTCTTCCCCTCTCCTGGTAAAAGTGCTTTCTCACCATCCGATTCTTCGTTGCCCACCATTCCAGCGAGCCCCAGTCCTCCAAATCCAGACGCTTTCGGTACTCCAGGGCCAGTAATGGCGTTTCCTCCATCTGAGTCTGTGACAGCCCATGCCCCTGTTTCACACTCTTCATCTCACCCTGTGAATCTCATCTCATATCTGGCCTCACTGGTAATTTGCCTGATGCTGCAGTTTCATGGCATGTGATTCTGAAAAGATGCTGCTGTTTCTACTTTACTGTTCTTGTCGCTATTAGAGCATTCCCTTTTCTGATCTTGTTTTTGGTACATTGTATGAGGCATGAGGCACTGTCGAATGATGCTTCTAGGTTAATATTAATAATCTTTTAATGTTGGCAAGAGTTATCTTTTAACTATTAACCGTCTGTGTTTATTTTTGTGTGCTGGAAATTTTCTTTTACATGTTTTTTCTTCTCAATGAGAGTAACACCTTCCACCGGCAATTTTGTTATATAGTCGACGATAGAAGGGCCATGTTGGCAAACTTCAATTGTTTTACTTTTTAAAAAATGAGAGTAAAGCTTGTGATACTCTCGTATGAAAAGAACGATGCCGGTGAGGGGAAGGGACCACAGATCACTTTGATGTTGCTCCAAAAGCTTTTTGACGACTCTGGTGCGCGCACTTTACAATAAGAAACAAGAAACATTTAAGAAAAAACAGTCGAGGGGAGAAAAAGAAATGGGGATTAGAGTGGGTAACACTGTAAATAAATAAATCAATTGCAAGGATGGGAATGCATACAATAAGCCCGTGACAAAAGGAAGAACCACTGAAATACTCTATCTGGCTTTTCTCTGCTAGAAGGAACATATGTGAAATTAATTACATAACTGATATCTAGGACGCGGACTACTCAAATGTATATAGATCTTCGACACATATAAATACATGTATAAACGTATTTTCTACTTAGTTTACGCCATATGCCTACTAGTAAATCACATCTAGAGAGCTATAACACTGGGCTGATTCCATGGATATCCATTAAACAGCTTCCCGGACAATGCTCCCATGAGTTTGTTTAGTTCAAAGGGGTGCTTCCATTTCTTGTTGCAGTCCTTAGCGATGAAGTTTCTCATCTTTGAATTCTCCTGCTTTATCACGTCTATTGCCAAACTCAGGTGCTTTATCACCTCTATCTTCTCCTCGTCCTTCTGCCTCAGTTCGTCCTTCTGTGCTCTATTCTCTTCTCTCAGTCTTCCTATCTCTTCCCTCATCTTCGCTGCTTCATCACTCATGGCATCTTTCTTCTTCAGTTGATCCTTCTGTTCCCTATTCTCTTCTCTGAGCCTTTCTATCTCTTCCCTCAAAGTCATCAGTTCATTGCGCATGGCATCTTTCTGCTTCACTTGATCCTTATAAACCTTGTTCTCTTCTTCAAGTCTCTTAATTTCTTCACCTAACCTCTTGGCTTCATCATTCACGGCCACAAAAGGAACTTCCCCCTTTTTGTCAAATTCACTTTCCTCTTCTTGCTCAGGATCGTCGACTTCAGACTCCGCAGACTCCTCCACATCGCAGTTCTCAGAGAAGCTGTCATAACAGGTATCCGTGAAAGTCATGAATTTCTCTGATTGGTACTTGGCCGAGGCAAAAGGAGATCCTCCTGAAATCAGGAGGCGAAACCCAGAATCAGGTTTGACTTGATCATAGCGCTCTGCCAGAGAACGCTGAGTCCGATAGAAGTCTTCAACCATGCGAATAAGCTCTGGTCGCTTTTTGTAATACATCTCTGCACGTTGCGCAAAGGAATCCGCATCTTGTTCAATCAGTTTTAACATTGCCTTTGTCTTCTCGTTTAGCTCTGTCGTCAACATAAAACACAGAAACACGGACAAATATCAACATGTTTTCCACATTCTCTTTTGATCTTATAGATTAGTTCATCCCTAAAATCATTAGCCGTTGTAACACTCTAGTATATGTTCCCAAAGAGGTCCAGACATACGTCTTAGTTCACGAAATTAAAAAGGGGCTATCGCAACGGTTAAATCTAGAGGCAAAAAGTAGAAAAAGAAAAGGACTTCAAAAGGAACAAGCAGGAACCACGATTCTTAAACTAGGCCCACAACCTTTTCTGGTTACCAGCCCTCCTATGATCCTCTTTACTCTTTTGAGAACGTTTGGTTTCAGCCTTCTAAGTGCTTACGTCTATAGATCATATGCCATAAGAAAAATCAATTATCATTCGGGAAGACACCAGTGGGTCCAAAAACTTCAACGTACTAAGAGCACAGCATTTAGGGACAAATTGAAGGCCAAATAACAAAGAGCCAGACAAATGGTTCGTGGGATCCTCATGCAGTTAATGCATCATTAAAATTACATCGGCCATGAACCAATAACCACGAAGACCCGTCACACTGATCAACTTGGCACATGTGCGCCCAATCGAGCGAATTAATTGCTTGCAGATATTTGACCATGAAACTTTCCTACTCTTAAAAAAAAAAAAAACTTTGCACGGGTTCAGAGTAAACAGCAAATAACACAGAGGAAGAGAAATACCAGAGAGAGTGGATTGGAGCCATGGGGTTCTTTTAGAGGCGCTGTGATCGTCAAGCCACCACCAGTGTGAAGGTTGATTCATCCTCATTTGCGCCATCTTCTGTGTCACTCTTCTCTTAATTATCACCAGAGCCTTGTATATGCAAACAGATATTGCAAAACAACAAAAAGGAACCTTGAATTTTTCAGGCAGCAAAATAAGTAGTGCGTTTTATATCTAAAAGATGCCAACAAAAATAAATTGAAAAGGCACCAAATTTATCGTATTTCCCTGAAGGGTCAAAATCAAATGCACCGACCAAGAGATTGATGCCGCTTCTTCGTTGTTAACAAAAACAAGACCATAGAAGCATCGTAAAAGCCATATAGAAGCATTCCCGTTCTTTCAAAACAGACCACAGGAATGCTTCAAAAGAAAACAATCGCTAAGCCTGCGTTAGATTAAAAACACATACTTTGCACCGTATCTCTTCTTTTTTGAAAATCTGAAGCCACAGAGATGGCCATATCAGGATGACAGTTTTTTATAGATTTAGACAGAGGAAAAGGATATTGAACTTATGTCAGTCGGTGAGCCGAAGGAGAGAAAGAAACGAAAGAATAGAGCTCGGCTATGTCCATTCCACAGAATCTAAAACAGAGACGCGAAGAGAAAGAGAAGGGGGAAAATAAGGAGAGACCTGATTCAAATTGTTGCAGAGAGTCGTTTAGCTCGTCTTCTCCGGCTGATGTAGAATGTAGGCTTCGCTTTGCCTGCCTACGGACTCTTTTTTCTCACCCAAACCGAGCTTCACTCTCTACTCTCGGCTCTTCGTTGGGTATATATCATAAGTACAGTGCTTTCTGGTTTTGAATTCTTTTGTCTCTTTCAGGGGGAATTCAAAACTCTCCACTTTTACCGAATTGCAACTGACCAACACCTTTATTACCAGCGGCTACTCCTGAGTGGCTGGCAATTATCTAGTGGCTTGAAGGGTATTGGAGACATTTCGCCCACATCATGTAAATCAGGTGGCACTTGACGGCGGATTTTTGGCAAAACAATATTACCACAATTTTGAATTCTAATTAAAATTAGGGAAAAAAAAGTTTGAAAGGAAAACCCCAAATCAGAAAGTCAATTAATATGAATATGATATGGGGATTGATTAAAAAAACACGAACATGGCTGCTGAGTAGGATGCGATTAGGAACGCGACAGCGTGAAGGAGCGTGAGTCCGAGACCAGGATTTTGCAGCAACGGTCCGAAATGTGGCTCAGAAACTTCTATTTCTATTTATTTGTTGTCCTTTTATATCTATGCACATGGCATTTTGATAGCCTGGCAATCCAAAATCTTGTATCCAAGTAAAACGCTGGGCTTTCGAGTTTCGAATATAATGAATCTCTCAATATTATATTTAAAATTAAGGGTTAATTAATCTACAATCCCTTCTAGTTTCAACCAATTTTAAATTGGATCCTTGTATTTTTTTCTTTTTATTAGGTGTTTATTCTTTCACATGTTTTTAATGAGGTCCCTGTATTTATTTTTCTTTTTATCAAATCCTTATAATTCTACTAAATTTTTAATGAGATCCATGTAGTTTTAGTTTTTATTTATTAATTAAATATAAACTTAATTAAATAGATTAATAATGGAATATAAAATATTAATAATAAAATTAAATTAATAATTATATAATAAAAATAAGTAATATAATTAATTAATTCAGGAAATTTTTTTAGAACAATTAACATTTTCTTGCTGGAAAAAAATAAAATAATTCTAATAATTCATTATTTTTAGAATATTATTGTTTATAAACTAATATTAAATAATATATACTATTTTATGCTTATAGAATACTATTATTAGAATTTATAAAATATAGAATAAAAAATTTCAGGGACTTAATTAAAACTAAGATAAACTTATAAGGATGTGATAAAAAAAAATATAAAGACCTGATTTAAAATTAACTAAAATTATAAGGACTTACAAATTAATTATCTCAGAATTAAAATAAATCCCCCAGTTGAATTTTTATTTACTCTCTTCTGTAATCATGCTGCGCTGACTCTGCATTTTTTTGGAGCCAACATGCAGACAACAGGCGATGGCTAAAAAATGACACCACATTAAATGTTAACAATCGACGTAAACTAAATTACATAAAAGCCACAAGTTGCAATGCTATTGATTGAATATATTTGGATCCATAAACATAATACTTTTATATACCAGGAACATTCCAGTTCATGGTGCTTATCTAGCAAAAAAAATTTCATGATGTTTAACAACAAAATATTGACATGCCTGATAAGTGTTTCGCAAAAACAATACAAAAAATTAATTACAGTTCTCCTTTTGTGCCAAAAATTTGAGTATGGTTCAAGCCTTATAGTAAAAGAAGATATATATGCCCAAATTCAAATCTATAAATAGACAAGTCTATAAAATATTTTTAAGTTTGTTAATCACAAATTTTCTTTAGTTCATTTTAAATGACGTGTTTAAATCCCCATGCTTAATCCTAAAACGATGATTTGATTCTCACCAAATGATCGTCAAGCCCATGAGTTCGCGCTCCGAATACTACAATTCACATAAAATCACTAGAACCCAACCCGATCCATTACGACGACAACCACAAGAAGTCGAAAAGGTGGGCATTTGGATAAAGCCGTTGTGTCCGAACCCGTCTGGTTAGCCCGGATGGTGCGCTCAGATTCCTTAGGAACCCTTTCGCTTTCCTCATTCCTTCCAGTCCCCCAGTACTCTGCTGCTATGTGATCGAGGGGGTCAAATTTATTCTGATTTTTTTTTCTTTTTCTTTCTAGGGCTTCCCTCTATTATTCAATTTATTCTATGTTTGGTGTTTCAATTAGCGCCTTAAACGTGTTTCACTCAACCTCTGATAAAATGGCTTTCGAAGATTTGAAGAAGAGATAGTTTGGAAAGGAGGGGGGGGGCTATGAAGCTCTAGTTTAAGTTCCGTGTTTGATCAATCGGCTCTTATTTTGGTTTTCTGGGTCTTGCTTTTGTGTTGCGTTCAATGTAGGCGGTTTTCGATTTCTAATTGCCATATTGAATCCATATGCCACTCTGTCTGTATGCTTTCAGTAGTTGATTTTTCTTGGAAAGGGAAACCTTGTTGTTATTGTGATGTAAATTTCGTTTGAAAGAAAAAAGATTCAAGCTTTTCATGTTTTGGGGTTTTGTTTATCATTTGGCAACCTGCTTTTTGTAAAAAGATGGGACTTGGAATGGAGGAATTGACCATGACTTTGAATATTTGAAAAGGCGACGATGTCGTTTAGGAGTATCATCCAGGATATAAAGGGCGAATTTGGGAGTATTTCAAGGAAAGGGTTTGAGGTGAAGTTTGGGTATGGGATGAGATCGCGGTCACAGTCATACCGCGATGCTGGGGATCATGTGATGGTTGCTGATGGTTTGAGGCAGAGTTGTTGGGCTAATATGCCTCCAGAGCTTCTGAGGGACGTGTTAATGAGGATCGAGGCCTCTGAAGATACATGGCCAGCCCGAAAACATGTGGTTGCCTGTGCTAGTGTCTGCCGCAGTTGGAGAGAAATCATGAAAGAAATTGTGAAATCTCCTGAATTATCTGGCAAGCTGACACTCCCAATCTCCTTGAAGCAGGTATGACTATTGCGCATGCATTTACTTCCTTCGCAATTTTTGCTGGCATTAGATGCATGTGCGGTGCCTTTCTATACTTATTTTATATTTGGTTATTAATGACTTCACGTAGGTTTTAAGAGTGAGGTTGCGATTTAGCGTTTTCGAGCAAAATAGTCTCATTCCATTTACTTGTGTTCAGTTTCTTCTTCATGTGCTGAAGTATAGTTTGCTTGACAGTAATGTATTTGCACGCAGTAGCATGCCCGTATTCGACAATTGTATATGTTATCTTGATTCCCAATTTTTTATTGAGGCATTATGAAACATCAGACCAGAGGCAGATTGATGAGTGACATAGTTGGACAAGTACATTAATTAATTGCAGTTGCAATGGCTTGATGGTCTCTTTAATTAAACAAGCTACAAGGTTATTTGTGAGATTTAATTACAGCTGAGAAAGCTCATAATTTGTTTATTATGTGATAGGTGAGCATTTTTGAGTGAAGTAACATTACTTTGGCTTTGCTTATTCCTTAATGGTGAGGTGAATTCCTAACCATTTCCTACCCAAAGAAGGGGGGAGAGACTCAGAATGATACAAGGTAGAATAACTCGTGGGTACCTTGTAGGGAAATCATTTTCACTTTGGTACCCATGTCAAAAGGATAGTTGTTAATACGGCATGACATAGTTGTGAATCTCAAAAGGGTAGTTGTAAATGGATGTGTCAATAATTTTCTTATAAGTTACCCAAGTGTCATTCTCCCATGATATAATTAGCGCTATGTACATTTCCTACTGTCATAGGCATGGCTTTTGGTTGAATCTGCTCACGCCTAGCTCGGTAAATTTTTTTTGGCGGCGATCTTATTGTTAGGAAGGTCTCATACCTCTAATTGCATAAAATTTATTTTGATCTCTTACTGTTGATGTGCAGCCTGGTCCAAGGAACTCTCTTCTACAGTGCTATATTAAACGGAATCGCAGTAATCAAACATATTATTTGTACCTCGGTTTAAACCAAGGTAAGCACCACCAGACATTAAATTTAACCCGTGTGGTTGATTGTATATAATATTATGGCATGTAAGTTGGATTAGTGGCAGTCCATTTTTCCCTTGTACTGATGTAATATTCAAAGGAGAAGAGGGAATCGATGATGGCAAGTTCCTTCTTGCTGCACGCAAGTGTCGACGTCCTACCCATACAGACTATATCATTTCTATAAACTGCGATGATGTATCAAGAGGCAGTAGCACTTACATTGGAAAGTTGAGGTAAGTTTAACTGATACTGGTCATGAATGGCCTCAGATATATCTGCTAGGCCTAAAATCGAGTTCTCTTGTTTATTTGTGACAGGTCAAACTTTCTGGGTACCAAATTCACAGTGTATGACGCTCACCCTCCAATTTGTGGTGCCAGAGTGACTAAATCTCGTTCAAGTAGACCAGTTAGTCTCAAGGAAGTGTCTCCAAGAGTCCCTGCTGGCAACTATCCCATTGCGCATGTCTCATATGATCTGAATGTTCTGGGCTCCAGGTATTGATATCGTTATCTAAAGAGTCTCCTGAGAAAAGAGAATTATATGGACAGGAATCATGAAGTCATAATATTCTTTTATCATGGTTATCCGAAATTCCGCTCTTCCTTTGTAGGTGATTCCATTGCTTAGTCATTCTATTGAATTTACATCTAGCATTACTTAGATTCAGATGGGGAAATGTTTACAGGGGCCCAAGGATAATGCATTGTGTTATGGATGCCATTTCAGCTTCAGCTGTTGAGCCAGGAGGCGTGGCCCCTACTCAAACTCAATTCCTGCATCGCAGAATTGATACTTCTCCATCTATTCCTTTCTTTAGGTCAAAATCAACTCGGTTGGAAAACTTCCAATCAGTACCTTTGTCTTCCCAAAACAAGGGAATGCTGGTATTACAAAATAAGTCTCCTAGGTGGCATGAGCAACTCCAATGTTGGTGTCTGAACTTCAATGGGCGAGTGACTGTGGCTTCTGTCAAAAATTTCCAGCTGGTTGCTTCTCCAAAGAGTGGGGTTTCTGAACAGGCTCAAGAAAATGTTATCATTCAGTTTGGAAAAGTGGGGAAAGATTTGTTTACGATGGATTATCAGTATCCCATCTCCGCTTTTGAAGCATTTGCGATATGTCTTAGCAGCTTTGACACCAAGATTGCTTGTGAATGACTGTCACGCAGGTATCATACTCCTAAAAGAATAAACTGTTTTAAGAGGCAACATCTTAACATCCTTAATCGGAACTAGAATCTCTTCAAGCATTTTCACGGGGTTGGTTCAAGTTTCTGGTGGAAAGTTTTTACTGGTGTGCTGAATGTACTGTTTATAACCTAATGTTTTGAGAGTGTCTGACCATTTATTTTTATGAATCCTTTTGTGACTTGTGATGATGTCCTTGCTGTTGCTATTTTGTTCAAAATTATTGGTTTGGGATTGTTTATAAACAATCATGCTGCCATAATATGATCATAATGATGATATTAGAAGTGGCTCTGACTCCTATAAGTGCTTATGACATGTTTAGTTGCTGACTTGTGTTAGCAGATGTGAACCAGCAAAGTGACGCTGGCAGCAGGGTCTCGACTTTTCTCTTTGGTCGAAATTTGAGTATGAAGGTCTACCCCTCCGCCTTTGTATGTGAGTGGAAGATGTTTTTGAGTGGTGTACTTGTCCAAGATTCTAGGTTGTGTTTCCTTGTTCAAGTTTGTGGACAACCTCAGTTACGATTGGTTTGCGATATTTCGAGTTGCTTTCTTTTAATTCTCTTTATTTTTGATGGTTACATTCTTCGCTGCTAGCCTTCAGAGAGATCCTAAACTTTCCCAGTTTGGTCTTGGGCGAAAGTGTGAATGGACATTTCTCCATGAAGAGGGGAGGGGGAGTAGTTGTTGTGACTTATCGGTAAGAAAGAGAGTGGTGATAACAATATCCTGAACTACTTAACTGAAGATGTAATATTGTGTATTTGGCATTATGTATCGTTGGGATTCTGGTGCTATTTATTAACGTTATAATTAACTGCGCCCTGAAAAGATCATCAAGTGAAAAAAGCAGTCTTCAGGCCGCATCATTCCCGGATTGAGTAGTTTGGGTGCTGCCTGATGAGGGTGGAAATAGGCTAGCGGCCATAGGACTATAAAGTCTGGCCGTTCCTATTTACTAAATAGACCAGATTCATATTCAGGCTTATGTCTAGGTCTATTTAAGCAAACAGACTAGGTCTAATTTTGTGAGGTTTAGCATACGAGTCTACAGGCATGACTTTTTTATAAAAAAAAAAAATTTGCGTTATTATATATTATATGATATAAATCAATTTTATAAATTATTTATAAAATTACAAATTTTATTTTGACTTTAAGTTTCAATCATAAGTCTTTTTTTTTTTTTCAATCAGTCATTCACTTCTACTTTTTTTTTTTTGGATAGTTTAATATGACAATGTCAGCTCACTTTCTTTCCATTTTTGTTAAGTTGTAACAATTGTTGTAAGCTTATTTTAGTGATACTTAAATAAAATATTATAATCTCAATGAGAAGAGTTTGTCCAGTTTATGTAGGAAAATCAAACGAAGTAATTCCATTTTACATGTTGTTTAGTCAACAAATGTGATTAGTTTTTTTTATTTTAGAAAATTTATCTATTTAGTCAACAAATGTCATTAGGCTTTTAACTTGATCCAACAATTGTCACTATAAATTCTTTTATGTTTCATGGTAGACTCTTATATTATTAGTGAGAATGGATTATAGACTTTTAAAATATAACATTGGCTTTTAAATAGGTTTAAAGGTTTATGTATGAACTTGAAAGCATTGATTTTTAAATTTATTTAGAGGCCTACATTTTCAATAAGCTTTTAAACAGGCTTCAAGTTTTATAAGACTTTTTGAAGGCTTAGGGTTAGACCTAAAAAAAAAAAAACCCTATATGTAGACTCAAGTTCAAATTTAGGTTCAGGTTTTAGATATCGATTGCAAGTCTAGACTTACTGAGCAAAAGCTTAATCTATTTTCATCCCTAGGTGTTGGGAAGGAGATACAAGCGGATTATTAAAATTTCAATTTTTTATTTTAATTTTTTAAAAATGGTGATTTTAATGGGCATGAAATATAAGATAAAGGTAATTTATTTACTATACTTATAAAAAATAATTTTATTTAAAATAATTCGTTAAAAATTTTAAGTCTAAACCTCAATGGGCAACTGAGCATTGGGCGCTCCCGCCTAAACTGAAACCGGGTCCTTGAATCACGGGGTCTGTGGAGTACACTACTGTACAGTGACTTTTTTTTTGGGGGGGGGGCGCAGGGGAGGGTTTGGATTGGATGGAACAATAAATCTCCGCTCATCCTTTTTATGTCATCACCAATGTCTTTGGTCCGGTTCGTTAGGGCCTAAGATTTGTATGGGCCCAGATGCTGGGTACTGTATCTTCAGCACCGAATTTCAAAAGAAGACCAATGGGGGTTGGGTTTAGCAGAAGAAGTTAATCTCTCATAACATGATGAATCAGGTTTTGAATCTTTATTGGGAGAGGTGTCCACATTTAGTGCTCGATAGTGTTTCAAATAAGATTGCTTTTAACAAACAAAAAATGAATTTGAAAAGGAGGCCCAATCTTCTGGAGATCTAAGGAACCGGGGGCCCAAGTCTTAGAAGATTTTTTTTTTTCTTGGGTTAGAAATGACACTAGACACAATGAGGATGAAAAATCACAGTTTAACTAAAAAAAGAAATGAATGGGGAGAGGACGAGTTTGAGTGCGTATTTGTAGGTGTCCCTAATTAAAATAAATAAATAAAGAAAAGAACCGCTTGATTTGCTTTTTCCCCTGCAGCTGAAGTATTGTGTGAGAGTCGAGAGGGGCAGGATAATTGTTTAAAGCAAATACTCCTCCGGTCCTTATTATAAGATCCAATTTGACTTTTTATTTGGTCCTAATTATAAGACCCAATCCATTTTGTCTCTTATATTTATGCATTTTTTTCCAAGATAATCCTTCTAATAATGATAGTTTTAGCCAATATACTTAATTAGCAAGGATATTTTAGGAATGACAACACTTATTTATTATAAATAACCAACTTAACTTACTTCCTTAATCTCCTCAAATAAGTCAATTGGGTCTTATAATTAGGATCGGAGGAGTATTTTTTAAGAAAGAAAATGTCACGGGGGAGCCTTTACGAAGGTCAGGGATGACTCCCACCTAAAAAAACACAAAAGAAAAGCAAAACAGAAGAGAACTTACTATCTAAGCGGGTTAAGGGACCATTAGATCCCTTCTTACCCCCCGGCACAAGCGGAGGCATTATTAATCAGGACAAATTGTGGGAGATCTGAAGTAATAAATGCATGCTTAAGTGTTAATTAGATTTGAAGATTCAGTCCTTTTCTGGCACAGGAGGGCAGCAGGTGACAGCTCGTGAGTTTGAATATTTTACGGAGGGTGCCGGAGCTGATGAAGCTTGCGCAGAGAGGAAAGCCGAAGGAAACTTCGACATTCCTCTTTCATGCGATTATTATTCATCTCTCAAGTCACGGGCGACACATGCATTTAGTTATGTGCTGGGCACTGAAAACGAACGTACCCCCTTAGTTTCTTAACATTCTTAAATGCCCTTCCCATAATTAAAACCCATTCCTATTATTAACTTTCAATACAACCGACTTGTCCGCCCTGCTTGTCCCCATCACCACCACAACTTGGATTTTAAGGATGGAGAAAGGGATGTCTAAGGACCCTGTTCACTGTAAGCCGCCCCCTCATTATTAAATACGCCAAACCAATCAAACCAGATCCAGAAAACGAAAGCCCTCCTCCCTCCTCACTCCAAATCAATCTGATTCCCCAGGAACGTGAGCTTGCAATCAAACCGGGGCGGGATTATGGACCGGGAATTGAGTGGGGAGTGTGAAGTTGGGCCTAGGCGGGAAGAGGTCAGTGTCAGCAGGGAGGAACTGGTCCCAGAGAGACAAGTGTGAGTGGTCCTGGCCATACGAAGTGGTCCATGGGTCACAGCCATCGGCCATACGCGTCTCCGCCATGGCACTTGCTTTTCTTGAGGGGGTGGTGGGGGAGAATTGGGGGTATACTTAGAAATAAGGTCCTATCAATTTACAATTATAACAGATGATGTTACCCATTAACTAACTTGTGTACCACACACTCGCTGGCAGCAGATATTGAATCCCAATCCTCTCTGCAGATTGCAGAATCAATCTTCTCTCATTTCTCCCAATTATCATCTCCACATAATTGCTGCTAATTTGTTTCTTGTCATCCCGAAAGGGATCGCGCCATAGTTTTCAACCTTTCGCTACTTGCAAGCTGGCCCCAGCACACCCGATAACAACTCGCGCCTTTTAATTCCTCTCTCGTCGTGTCACCCCTTCATGATTTTTCTTCTTCTTTTGTTTTCTTGGAGTTGATACGAACGACGACTTGTGGCACCTTTTTCAAAATAAAAAACTAATCAGATCCATATTACTTTCACGTTTCGACACGCCACTTTTCCTTTTAAACGAGGGGGGTTAAAAAGCTTGTTTTTGTTTTTCTGAAATAAACACGGTGGTGTGAAAACTAAAGTAACAACACCGCGTATTATATTTCCACAGTCTGATAAGATAACAGCATGCGAAGAAAAGATGGTGTGGATGGCGTGCCCGATCCGAATTGTCAAGCAAAATGGGAAAGCAGAGAATGGAAGTGGTAACTGGTGAGCGTGACCAATTAGAATTTGTCTCGTAGTGGGATGAAACTTTTCGATAATGCAGAATTCAAACCGGTTTGAATATTTATTGGTGCCAACCAAGTTTAATAATTCCGCTGCATTATTATAAATCAGCCACAGGAGCTCCGACTTTGAATATATAGCTCAATGAGTAGCCCGACCTTTTGGAAAAGAATATGATTCTGCTTTTAGTTGGATTAGAAATGATGAAACGGAAGGGGGTTGTAGCCTAAGTCTTGGCATGCCCCAGTCTCATGCACCTGTTAGCTGTTACGTTTGACCCCTCGCATATATGACAAATGTCTAAACTAACTACCAATCACGGTGCCTATCTAATTTGGATGCCACCCAAAATACAAAGTCGCTTCTCGTCAAGATTCCTACTCTCTAACCCCGCTGCTTTTGGTGGCCAAACTAAATCTAGCCCACCAGCCAATCTCAAGTATGATTGCCCCACAAATGAATCACGTTTCTTGACGTACGGTGTGCAGGTTTAGATAGATCACGTCTTTAACTTTATTCTCGGCTGGTAGCAATGCATCCAGACTCGAACAGTCCGCAGGGTTGATATGATTCAAGCAACTTGTTAATCTTCACTTCCCCACTGATTCGCTGTGTGATTTGGGCAGCGCTGTCCCTGCGTCGTTTGATTACTTACTGCCTATGAGATCTTCTTCTATACAGTTTATAACACTTCCAACACTTCCAACACTTCCAACAAGCATCCCATCCAACCCCCCCCCCAACGCATTATATAATTTGTGGAAGCTAAAAGGTTGAGCATGTATGACCGTGGTAGGGAAATATCAATGAATGTGATAGATTAATACCTGTTTGGATTGGCATATGTATGTTAAGCGCTTATAAATATTCTATACGCTTCACGTACTTATTTCATATTTTATTAATTGTGTTTTAAACAAGTCCTTAATTGATATGGGGTCATCTTGGGTGATGGGATGGAGAGCACAGTCCAAAAAGCAAGCTCCTTTGTAAATAATCAAACATCCTCAGCCATATTTGGCGACTTGAATATACTATTATTTGTTGTGCAGGGGCGCGCGCACACGAACTAGTTGTTTCTGTTTAAGTAGAGTCATAAATATGAGGATGGCGTGTAGGAGTACGGGAGAGAGGGGTTTGGGATGAAAGGAGGAGGGAGGGGCGAATGAGAAGGAGACACGCAACCCGTGGAAGGGGAAGAGAAGTTGAACGAACGATATATGTCGGTGTCGGTGACGGTGATGGTGACAATTTTGA